TGACTAAATGGTCGTTGGTATTTGTACTAATTACATACATAAAGATCAAGAAAGAACCGAAGTAAAAGTAATTCTAACGGTGTTTCCTGTCCATCTTCTTGAATGCTTGTGAATCTGTGTTCCCAGATACGCACCTTGTTAAAACTCTTTTCCTACAGCTTCCTGGGGTATTGTTGTTCCAGTTTTGCTCATACTTTGGGAACTTGGTTCTTTTTTTTCATTTATGGGTCTTTGTTTTTATTTTCCTCCCATTCTTTTTTTTTCTTTTATATATCTCCTTGGATGGGATAATTTGCCTTTTGACCTCAACTGTCAGATTCAGTTCAATAGTATCAATAATTAACCTGTGTTTGCCTCAATATTTTATTTCTGCATTTCAACTGCTTTGGGCATTTCTGCTGGCCTCAGAAAAACTGGTTCCTAGAGACAAGAGCCTATTCCTTCTTCCACCACATGTTCCTGTTCCAGAATAGCATTCATGAGGGATAGGAAGATTGAGAGAGGGGAGAGATAGAGATAGAGATAGATATGAGAGAGAGAGAGAGAGAGAGAGAGGAGAGAGAGAGAGAGAGAGAGAGAGAGCCTGCCTGGGGTGGGATGGGACGGGTGCACCATGGCACATATGCAGAGGCCAGAGGACAATTTTGTGGAGTTCATTCTCTCATTTCATCTTTATATGGATTCTGGGAATCAAGCTCAGGTTGTTGGACTTTTCCAGCAACTGGTTTATTCATTGAAACATCTTGCCAGCCCAGTTTTTCCTTTTTTATTCTCTTTTTAAAGGGAGATGTCTTTGGTGCATTCCTTTAATCCCACCCTGGGAGGGAAGCCTAGGCAGATGGATCTCTGTGAGATTGAGTTTCAGACCAACTGGAGCTACAGGGAGACCCTGTCTCAAAAAGACTATATATTTGTTCATATACATTCATTCAATTCAAGACAGGTTCTTGCCTGGAACTTGCTATGTAACTCAGGCTAATCTAGAACCCGAGATTCTCCTCCCTCAGCCTCCCCGGAGCTGAGTGCTGAGGATTACAGGTCTGCACTGCCATCCCTGGCAAATTTTATTTTTAGTTGACAAAAAATGATTCATATTCTGCAGTGTGCTATGTTTTAAATTTGCGTACATTATGGGAAGATCAAATAAAGCTAGTTAAGATACCTCCATACATTTTTTATTTAAAAACATTTTTGCATTTTCATGCATACTTGGTTTTGGTTGCCCCTCCATCCCCCTCCCCCACTTTCCTCCTCTCTCTGCCCCTGTCGGTGCTTAACTCTTCCACCCCCAGGACTCTTCTCTTTCACTTTCATATAACATGTGTTCTGTTACCATTTTCTCTTTAAAAAACTTTTTTGTTTGTTTTTATTTTATGCATATGAATATTTTGTCTGCATGTATATAACTGCACCTGTGCATTCAGTACCTGTGGAAGTCAGAAGAGGATGTCAGATCTCTTGGAACTAGAGTTACAAATGGCTGTTAGCTGCCATGTGGGTGCTGGGAACCAAACCTCTGTCCTCTGCAAGATCAGTCAGTGCTATTAACCTCTGAGCCATCTCTCCAGCCAACCCCACCCCCATTGCCTCTTTTTAATATGATTATCTCAGGCATTTTGTTGCAGTAATAGAAAGCTTACCAACACATGCAGGCTCAGATGAGGCTCTGTATTGCCTGCCTCATATCATAGTGGGAGCACCTGTCTCCTTGTATTTTTCATTCTCTTATTTCACTTCCCTGGGTGAGACTTCCTATATTGTAATCTTCCAGTCAGCCTTTCATCACTGTGACAAAAATACTTGACATACAGTGTTGCCAGTTGGCTGGCTAGGGTCCTTTTGCTCAAGTTAGATGTAAATTGTGAGTACACAAGCTCAGAATTCACAAGGCTCCTCCCCAGGGTTAAACAAACAATGAACAATTGCTAGAGGAAGAAGTGACTTTCTTCCGTGGAGCTGCCTGGGTGTTGGGCAGGGAACTCTAAGGATGCAGCTGTCTTGAGTCATCACCCATTCTGGGGTGGGGTTTTTGGTGACATAGCTGCCTTTGGATCATCCATGTTCCTGTAAACCCTTACCCATGTTCCTGAAGGTACTCCTCATAAGCTCACCGATTCACCAAGCTAAACTTGGATGAAATCACTTCTTTGTCTTGTCATTGGTGATCAGTGCTCTCTGTGGACTGAACAGACATTTATTCATGTCTCCCCAGGGAAGGTCACATATCCCTACAACATAGAGCTAGGGAGGGTGAGAAATGTTGACAGCTGCGCTTCACAGGGAAATACCATGGTCCTTTACTGGGATCTGGGGAAGAGGGAGTGCCAACTTCTTGGCTCTACCTATATGAGCGGAGAGTTCATCATGCTAAGCCATGGATCAAGAAACACTGAGGCTGCTTTTAAACAAGATTTAGCACGTTTTCTTGAGCAAATATTTCTGCATTTACTGCATTCCTTTGGACAACTTCAAGAAACTTGAAATGATTGCTTTAAAAATTTTAAACAGAGTGAGGCGATGGAATGTTTGTGTTGCCAGTTTGTTGGGGATCCATCTAAAGGCATGACCCTTATCCTCAAACTGGTTGCCATCTAGTGCCGAGCAATTTACCTAGGTAGATAGTAACGTTTCAGTGCACTAAGTACTACAAAAGAGTTAAGTGCAAGGCAGTAGGGGACACCTAAGAGAATCTCCTAATCTAGTTCCTAAGAGGAAAAGGTGAGTTCTGCAAATGAGAAAAATTCTAAGGGGACAGAGATGAGCCAGGAAGGATGCTGCAGACACAGAGAAAAGGCAAGTTCAAGGGCATAAAGAAGAGAGAGAACGTGCCAGGAAATTGCATTAACACAGAAAGCAGGGCAAAGAACTGGCAAAATTTAGAACAATATAGACCCCAAGGCTTAGCTTTACATTGGATTTCCTCCCTGGACTTATCAGTGCCCTTGCTCTAACTGAGGCTTCTTGGTAAAGATGATTCCATATCAAGCCTAGAAAGAGGAGATCTAGGGACTTATCTCCCTGGAAGCCATCTGTTTACATTCCATGGTGGTTTTAAAATATATATTTAAAGACTCCCTGCATTAATTACTTTTCTGTTGCTGTGATAAACCACTGTGACCAAAGTAACTTCTAGAAGGAGTTTGAATGTATTGAGTTCCTGAGGGATAGGAGTCCATCATGGCAGGGAGGCATGACTGGGGACAGCTAAACTTGAAGCTGAGAGCTCACCTCTAGCCTCAAACAGGAAGCAGAGAAAGTGAAACAGGAAGTGGGCAAGGCTATTTTCAAAGCCCAGTGCTTCTTCCACCAAAGCCACAGGTCCTAAAGGTTCCATGACTCTCCCTAAATAGTGCCACCAACTGACCAATTGTTCAAATACTTGAGCCTATGGGGGACACTTATTCAAACTACCATACTCCCCTTTTTTTTTCTGTTAACAAAAGTAATCACACTTCGCATAAAATATCACAAAGATACAGGGATGAATGGCATACAAGGTCAAATCCTCTGGCACTCTACCTCAAGGACAACGGTTGTTCTCCATTCATTAGATTATTCCCTCTGAGGGGGTACTATGAAAAGAATTGTCATCATAGTGCTTTAGAAAGATTAGTTTAGCAACAGTGTAGTGAGGCAAGAAAAGGGGGAAGTGGAGGAAACCCAGGCAAGTAGAGAGGCCGAATCAGTGGTTGTGTAGAGGAGGCATAAGAAGAACTAGAAATGAAACCAAAAAGACTTCACTCACTGGATGTTTCCATGATATTGAAAGACATTATTGTTAAAATTTTAGATATTAGCCTGGGTGTGGTGGTGCAGGCCTTTAATCCTGGCACTCTGGAAGCAGAGGTAGGCAGATCTCTGTCAGTCCAAGGGCAGCCTGGTCTACATAGCAAGTTCCAGGCCAGCCAGGGTTATACTGTGAGACCCTGTCTGAGAATATGTTTTTAGGGCTGGAGAGATGGCTCAGTAATTAAGAGCATTTTCTATTCTTACAAAGAACCTGGGTTCAGTTCCCAGCACCGACATAGCAACTCACAGCCATTTGTAACTCCAATTCCAGGGGATCCAATGCCCTCTTTAGACCTCCAAAGGCACCAGGCATGCATGTGGTGCACAAACATACATGCAGGCAAAACACTTATACACATAAAATAAAAATAAATAAGTCCCCCCAAAATTAAAAAACAAAAAACACATGTTTTTCGATTATTATAATGGTATTATGGTTATGACAAAAATAATATTCTTTTTGGAAGTGCATATTGAATTATTTACAAATGAAATTATATGATTTCTTGGGTTTGCTTCAAAATTATGGGGGAAGGGAGGGATGTATGGCAGTGTAGGTATAAAAAGACCATGTATGAGTTGGTGTCTGTTGAGCTAGTACTGGAGGTGACACTGGAAGGAGATGCCCAGAGGTCTTGGGAATAGCAGACTCAGAAGCATGCCAGATGCTGTTAGGTCAGTCCACTCGGGATTGTCTCTGTTCAGGAAAAATCATGTCCCTTCAGGGTAGCCACATCTATTTGGACCAGTGCAGAAGGTGGGGCCCAGACCTCCCTGTAATCTGGGACAGGGTTATCCCAGTTCCACCACTCCTGAAATGGCTAAGGAAGGCTATTGTTGGGACTGTGCCTCAGCCCTTTCTCTCTCTGCCAGCCCTTTCTTCTCTCTATCAGCCCTCTCTCTGCTGCATTCCCCTGTGAGTGCTGGTCCCCAAAGCACTCCCTAATACTTCAGCTGCAGTTTCCTCCTCAGAGTCTCCTGTGTGAACCCAACTGCAAAGACATTCCGCAGCACTATTCCCTTCTGCACATTCAGGTTTCCATAATGAAACTTCAAGAAAGAAAAAAGACAGTACCAGACTGGATGTGGTAAAGGGAACGGTGACATCAGGGTTCTGTGGTTTCTGAGGACAAGTGTACCATTCATGGAGCGGGGGATGCAGGAGAGCCATTTGGAAGGTACAGGAGGGCGTAGGGGTTTTGTTGTTTGTCTTTAATATACACTGTTCCAGGATGTGCATGCCATCCTTGTGCAAGGACCGTGCTAGTCTTCTCCGCATCGTTCTAGTTTTAGTAAATGTACTGCTGAAGTGAGTGCAAAATGGGAGCAGCCTGGAGATACAGATTAGATCCTCAAGCTGTGGGCAACTCATGGAAAGGACGACTAACAGTGATTTGGAACATCACAAATGGCCAGTACAGCTTCTATTTAGGCTTTGACAGGATCTGTTCAATTACAGCTGAAGGCACCAGTACAGCATGAAATGGAAATTGACCACACTCTTGATGGCACATACCACAATATGAAATATGAGATCCTGGTTGTTGTTTTTGAGACAGGGTCTCCCTGTAGCCCCAGCTAGTCTGGAACTCTGTGTATAGACCAGGCTAGCCTTGATCTCACAGAGATCCACTTGCCCCTGCCTCCTCAGTGCTGGGGTTAAAGGTATGCACCATCACACCCTGCTGGAGATCCTAATTAATCACTGAATGAAATATATTCCCCTAGAAAAGCTAGAAAATAGTTTTGTTTTCATTCAGTTCCTATGATCTTAGTTCTTTTCTGGGTCTCCTATTACACATGACAAGCCTCCTCTACCTTCAATTATGTGTCGCTTTCCTGCAAGCCCAGTGGAAGGATTATGAAACAATCACAGATGGAAACCTGTGTTTCAAAGACAACAAGTTGGTGGGCAACATCCAAACATTGTCATAGCAGATAAAAAATGACAATAAGAAAGTTAAAGTGATAAGGAATTCCAAGGAGGTGACAGTTGCATAGGGCTGATGCACAGTAGACTCCCTCCCCGCATGCTGAGGGGCTTCTCTAGGTCTGTGGCATATTGTGGTTAGGTTTCACTTTAACAGCTCTGAAGATGAGCAGCCAGGAAAGTTTACAGTGGATACCCCACAGCTTAGCATCCTTATGAAAGACTCTTTCATACTATTGCTTACAGAACTGTTTTAAAAATCATTTTCAAAAAGCAAATGATATGCAGAAGTATTTGGAAAGGCTGTCTCTATAAAATAGTGCTAACTAATGTTTGACTTTCGGAGACCTCTGAAGATAAATTTGACTTCAGAGAATCCTAGCCTACTCGTTAGGAGATATATATATATAATTTCTCAGTCTTTTAAAAATCATGTCCCTTTGTGATAAACATTACAGTGGAGAACAGCTACTTTATGATTTAAACATCTACAGGTCTCTAAACGGTACCTCTCTAGTTAACACACTACACTACAGGTTAGTTTTCGTTAGTTAAAAGTATTTAGAATACCTCAATCACTTTTTTAAAAAATGGACAAATAGACCCCCTACTTCCTATGAAGTTTTATAGAAAACAAAAGCACTGTTCCTAAAGGAAATAAAATGAAATACATAGGGCGCTATGGCTGTGTAGAGCGAGGTCACTCCTGAACAACACTCGGCTTTACACTTTACAACAAACAACAATCTTAACATGCTAAGATTACGAGATTAAATTTAAGGCTGCAAGCATTCCATTTTTTGTGTAAAGTCATCTCCCTCTATTCAACAAGATCGCCTTCTCCCAAATGATTTTCAGTGGTTGGCACGCAACAAAAGGAAAAAACAAACCAAGCAAAAAAGTCTAACCAAACAAAAACCACCTGAGGCTGTGAAGTTCTTATATACTTAGACATATCTCAAAGGGCTTTCTTCAAAACTCGCTTAAAGGCAAGGGATGTTTAAATAAGCAACTCCTTTATTTTTTTTTTTTTTTCATTTATTATTATTTTTTGAGACACTGGTCCTATGTAGCCCAGTCTGGCCTTGAACTCTTGAGAATCCTCCTGCCTCGGCCTCTGCAGGGCTGGGATTCCAGGCACAAGTCACCACGACCAGCTGGGAATCCGGTTTTTCACTAGATTAGAGGACGACTCATTTAAAACAAGAGTTAGCCAAGGCCTAGTATGTTCCCAGACCTCGCAAACTTTTGTCCCATGGCCAGCAGAGCATCCCAAAGCATCCGCTTGGGACAGCGCAATGGGAAGAGCTGGGCTGGGTTCCCGCCTGGTGCACCGGGACAGAGAGAGGCGGGAGCCGAGCACGTGCGCCAGCACACGTAGGCGGGATCCGCGGGCGAGCCTGACACCGCACTCGCGGCCCGGAGCAGGCGGTGCAGGCGAGCTGCGCCCAGGCACGTACCGGGGCGGGGCCTGGTGCGCGGGCGGGGCGCGGAGCCGATGGCTAGGGTTTCCATCCTCGGCTGGTAGCACCTGGAGCCGGCAGCGAGGAGCCGGTCCCCGCCGAGGGTCTGCCCTCCGCGCTCAGGCACCTGTCTTCCTCTCGGCTCCGGAAAGGAGCCAGGACAAGGGAATAAAGGAAATTAAACAGTACACGGAGATCGGGTGTCTGAGCAGCGTCTTGGATAAAAACCATCCATGACAGGTAAGCGTAAAAATTATGCCCAAATCTCTGAAGGTGTGAACACAAAGCTCCAGAAGGCTTCAGGGGGGGTGTGGTGAGGTGTAGCTTTTATCCGATCGGATCGTATCAAATTCTAGATTGCACTAGGGCGCGGAGAAACGGCACGGGACCACGGGTTCAGCGCTATTTAAAGGGAAGAAATGTGAACCAAGTGGTCAGGGGCAGACTTTAAAACACCCGAATGGACTTTTTCTTTACATTTTTGTCGGTTTCAGCCAGCAACGTGCTTGAGGTTTTACCGAACTAAACTTTGTAGTAAAAAAGTTTTTGTTTTGTTTTTTTTGCATGGTTTTTGATACAGCTGCGTTACAACTTTGAACTTTCCAAACCTCTTAACGAGGCTCGTAGGAGGAAGTTAAGATTTGGAATGGTAATTATGGGGTTATGGGAACTTGGAAGAGTCATCGTGTCATTAATTCCTGAGGTCTGAGAAAGCCACACGGTATTTCTTCTATAGTTCCAGTGCTTTCCCGTCCACTACCTCCTCTTACGACCTCAACCTCTCCATAATCGGAGAACTTCAGGTTCAAACTCCAACCCTGAGAAATAGCTTTTAAAACCCGTACTCATTTATTTCTAGCTTCCACTCCTCTTATCAAAACCGCCCCCTCCCCCCATCTTGTGTGATCTCTTTACAAGTGACATCCAGCCCTCATTTTCCTCTGTGCTATTCAAACAGCTGGCAATGGGGAAATGGGTATGTCCTGCTGGCCTGGCGACTAGGACCACGGGCTCTGGAGTCGCTAATGGTCAGTCAGCTCTCCAAGTCTCTAAAATGCATAAAATGAGATACACGCACGATTCATAGAGGTTGTGGAGACTGCGAGTCAACGTCTAGCATACAGTATTCAACAGACGGACGTTGGGCTCACCTTAACTCATACTCTGTGAAGCATTTTAACACTCAGCTTTCTGGGTGACCATTTCCAGGTCTAAGCTTAACAGTGACACAAAATAAGGACATACTAAATCTCTTTGCCACACTTCCATCACTGTGAAAGTAATACTAATCATCCATTCACAGCAGCACCACAGGAGAGGGAAGCATAGGTGACCTGAGGAGAGGTAGCAGGTATTGAATTCCAGTGTAGGATCACACTGCTTGATACAGGCATTGTAAACAAATTCATGATGGGCAATGCTGTGAAGGGCATGCTGCCTGTCCCTGAAGCCTGAGCACTCCTGGTGCTTATTTTCTGAGAGACTAAGTATAAGTACTTGGTTTCCCTTACATCTCCCTCCTGAATTGCTCGCAAGTCATTTCTCCAAGCACTGACCATTGTTTAAACTGTTTATGTACAAACCTCTGAAAATTCAACTGAAGCTAATTTGTTAAATAAGCATGACTTTTTGTGACCTGGGAATATTAAGCAATTTCTTATTCTAAAGTGTCACCTCTAGTGCTGTTTATTAAATGTGGAAGCATTTTGGGTCCTAGTGTTTGGGGTCAAGTATATTGTGGCCCTAACTTTTTTAGTATTACTGAACTATTCCAATTTTTTTGTGTATATTTGTAACCACATGTTCATTCTAAGATAAAAGCAGCCACCTAAGACTTAATTCACTTTGCTTAGGATTTATGCTGCAGGCTACAGGACTTAACACTCTCCACTGGTTACATAATTGGTCGGTGAAAATGTGTTTCTGAGGCTGGTGTAGCTCAGTGGTAGATGCTTGGTATATGTGAGGCTTTGAGTTCAAGCCTTAGCACTGCACAGATTCAAAAGATTTCTGTTACCTCTAGGTGTAGGGATTCACAGTGATGTTCTTTTTTTTTTTTTTTATTTGTTTTTTGAAAACAGTTCTCATGTAGCCTAGGCTGGCTTCAGACTCACTACGCAGTCAAGGCTAGGCTGCACTCCTGATCATCCTGCCTCTACCTCCCAAGTGCTGGGATTACAGGAGTGTACTAGCACTCCCAGCTTCCATTCTTATTTTTATCTTTCTAGACTCTGAAATTTTAAAATGAGAATGTAAAAGTGTAGCTATTTTTTAATAAAGGAAAAACACAGAAGAAAAATAAAGCTATTTAAAGATGTTTTTAAAATACAGCATCATTAGAACAAAACCATTAAAACTGTTAACGGAGTCAAGACCTAAGATTGTTGGGTCTCTACTTATCACCCTAGAGCTAGGGCAAATTGTCCTGTTGTTTCAGGCCTAAATATATTCATCTGTTAATGGAAATAGATGAGAAACGTGAAAAGAACCAAAGTCCTTACAACAGTGTATGATTATGATGTTGCATGGTTTGCTTCACTTACTCTATACTGAAAGTTAAAGTTTTGTGTTTTAGATTTTAATAGACTCATAAATTTATAAATGGAAAGCTTCTTTTCTAAAAACGTACTCTTCACAATGCAGTAGTATGGTTTGTTATTTAACATGACATTTAGGGACACAGTATACATTAGGTGATGGCAGTAAGATGGATGTAAAACTGTACAATGTCCTTTTCACAAAGAATTTAAATTGTTAGGAAATCATTTTATGACCTCGAAATGCTGAATGTAAAATGTTAAACATAAAAGCTGATAAAAGGAAGCCTGGTCCACAGAAGATGTTTATTTGATGTAACAAAACAGTTCATTTAGTGTTAGACCCAACCACAAGAGCAAGGGAATGAAAAATTTGTACAATGTACA